CAAGTGCAATAACTCACATCATCTCCCAGTGCGCCAGCTCCAAAGTATAAAACCACAAGGCCCATCACAGGCATTCAGTAGGATTCCTCAGATTTAAGATAGCTACAGCCAAAGTCCAATAGACCATTACTTCAAGATTTAGGTACTTTGAGGCAGAATAGCCTTTTACTCCGTTTCCATTGCTTCTGACAAGCATTCCAAGTTCTAGCAAATAGAACTAGGATTCTAGTTTTCCTAAGTGGACTGCAGGAAGCTTGCCAATCATTTACTACATTACTAAGAAGTTCCAATTGATTCCATATTAGAAGGTGAGCACTGAAGTGCATTGGAACAAATCTGTTATGTCAACTGTGACCTGAAGAGGAAAGCTTCACCGTGGACTTTTGCAGTGACTTACATGCCCCAGTCTTCACAAGGCTGAGCCTGTATAATCTTGTGAGCCCTTTCCTTCTCTTCTTGTAGTCACTCTTAGATTTTATCCAACACTTACCAATAACCACTTTCTGACACCTCAGAGGCTTTGGGACTGCTTCTCTCGATGCAGGAAGCCAGGCCCTGGGCAGCAGATGCTCTCAATTGCCTCCCACCCCAGCCAGTCCAGAAAGCTCTTCCTAGAAGTAAGCAACCACTAACATGCTGTCTGGACAACGGCCCAGCCAGCTCCAGCAGGGCAGGACACAAGGCAGCACAAACCACCCACCCCAGGTCTTCTTCCAGCTTTCCCCCCTCCTGTCTCACACAAGCTTGTATTGCATATATCCCAGGTTGATGGAATACACATTTAATGCCAACACTATCAGCTCTCTCCTTGCCTAGGCAGAACCTTGTGTCTAAGCTGAATCATCAATCTGTGTCATTCATTTTGGAAGCTCTGCAAGATGCTGATGGTGAGAGGAAAGGAGCTAATGAGATCCACAGCATCCAGTGGTTTGTATGTTGTGCCTGCTACCACTGTAGCCAGTCACCTGAATAAACTCAGGCCACCAGAGGAATCAGACTGAGCTGATGCCCTTTTCACCCTTAAAAGGAGTTTCTCCAATGCTTATAAACTGGAGTGGCCAGTTTCTGCACAGGCTTTATAGATTATCAATGCAGGAAAACCTCCATTTGGTTTCAGAATGAATCCAGATTACTAAACCAAGGAAGAATATTATCCAAGAATGGCATCTGCAGCAGGATCAATCAAAATGCATTACAGCAACACTAGTACTCTGCTGTTGCTGTAATGCAGTGCCCCCTGAGGTGTTTTCTACATGGGCATTCTGCTTTCATTTTCTTAACCGAGTTACTGACAGCTCTGACCACAACCTGGAAGATCTCCGAGGCTCTGTTACCAAAGCCTATGGATGATTTCCATGAGGATCTTTAGCAGGGAGGCATGTTCTACTGTTCTGCCTCCACATCCAGATTATCCTTTTCTGACCATCTTTGAGCTAAAACATCTTTCTCTACGGAGACTGTAAGTGCAGTTTCAAATAACCACCAGTGGCCAATACAGGAGAGGCCAGTAGCATGCAGAGCAGCAACGAGCAATGTTCGGTTACATGTGGGATGCAGATGAAAATGGAAAACACTAAACTGAAATGGTTCAAATCCTTCCTGAACCTCTGCTCCCACCTGAATTCTTAATGGTTTCTTAACCCAAACATCCTCCCGCTCCAGCCCTGTTCCAGCCCTGTGCACGGAAAAGCATTTGGAAGAATTCCAAACCCCACACAAGTTGCTTCAATTAAGACAGCAAATCTGAACACAGATTTGTTGGGTTCAAAGCAGAGGGTTAAAGGAGCCCAGGTAAGTATTCAAATGGTGGAAGATCTCACTTTAATAGTTCACACAACCTACTCACCAGGATAAACGGGGTGCTGGACGGGGAAGAACAAAGCTGTGCTGGGCTTGCCAGAGCAGGGACAGTGTAAGCTGAAATCCTTTAACACAGATCCTGTCCAACAGAAGGACAACCATTTCCTCTCAGCAGAATGCATTACTGATCCCTGTGAGACTGCAATATTTCAGCACAAGAGAGGCCCAAGCCAAAACAGGGAAACTTTCCTACAAATACATCTGATCTCAGCTTTTGTAACCCATGTGTCACAAGGTTCTTTTACTCTTGTCCATGGTATCAAGCTATGCTGAACTGAAGACCATAATATGAGTTACAGCAAGCCTAAACCCAGCTACTGTGCTGTGACTACTCCCTGCCTTCAAGAGAGCTGAACTCTCCTACCTTTGCTTAGCAAGCTTCTATCCTTGCCCGGAGGTTAAGCACAGCCCTACAGACAGGTTTCTCCCTATATTTCAGTGACTGGTTAAGTCTTCTTCACCTAGTGAAACAAACCATGCTAGACAAGAACATCCTTCTACCTGGTGACCCAGGATATGGAAAAGCTGAATTTGTCTTCAGCCATGAAATCCAATTGTGGATTTTGTTAGTGACCTACTGTAACTCCAAACTTTCTAAATACATATATAAACACCCTTTCAGAGTACTTTGAGATGCCCTCATTCCCAGTTTTAGAATCCATGGCACAGTGCAGTTCAGGAACCAAATCAAGCATGACAGTATATCACACAATCTCCACAAAGACCTACGATACACTTGCCACTGGATGGAAATGTCCTGTTTCTAGGTACTGTGAACCAGCTCATAGCCTGCTGCAGGATAAAATCATTCACTGCTTTTAAGAACATGTTGGGAAATTAAAGATTTCACTTTATTAGCTCAATACACACCAACCAAGTCCATTAAAGGTCTCATGACTGCTATTAAAAACATCCCTCAAAGCCATTTGTACTAGCTGTATCATTGGCCTTTCCCAGATACGAGGCACAGCATTCCATTTGGCTGTAATACCCCTACTTCTCCAACATTTAGTACCTCTAGCTCCTTTACCAAACCTTGAAGTCAGTTTGCTCCTCACCTGACCATTTAAAACCTAAAAAACCCAAGGTGAGTGCCTAGACTGGGGAACTGGGCAGCATTTTGGTTAATAAAAAGAGAAATACTAAATACATAGAAGAGTACTTGAAGAAGCGTGGTCTGATTTTGGAGGCAGCTTCAAATCTACTCATTTTTTCTACAAAGAATCAAATGTATATGAAGTAGAGACTTGATCCACAACAGATTTGTCCAAAAGCACACAAACTAGTACACTGAATGGGAAAGGACTTACTAAGAGTAAGTAGCAGGTAGTCAGTCTGCAGGCTGGAGGAGGCTGCCTGTCCTGGGTTCAGCTACAGCAGTCATTTTTCTTCTTCTCAGTAGCTGGTGCAGTGCTGTGTTTTTGACTTTCAGCCTGGGAACAACACTAATAACACACTGATGTTTTAGTTGTTGCTCAGTAATGTTTACTCTGATCAAGGACTTTTCAAGTCTCATGCTCTGCCAGGGAGGAAGGGAAGCCGGGAGGAAGCAGAGACAGGACACCTGACCCAAACTGGCCAAAGGGCTATTCCATACCACAGCACATCATGCCCAGTATATAAACTGGGGGGAGTCACCCGGAAGGCCCAGATCACTGCTCGGGTTGGTCGGCGGGTGGTGAGCGGTTGTGTCCCCTCCCCTTGTTATTCCTCTTATCACTATTATTGGTAGCAGTAGTGATTTGTATTATACCTTAGTTACTGGAGAGCTGTTATCTCAACCCATGGGAGTTACATTCCTCCAATTCTCCTCCCCATCCCTCCGGGAGCAGGGTGGGGGGAAGAAGGTGGGAACTGAGCGAGCAGCTGCGTGGTTCTGAGTTACAGGCTGGGCTTAAACCACGACAGTATATAATGTATTGTGCCAATCTTTAACTAGCCCAATTCGAATCAGACCAAAAAGAATTCATTTAAAACAAAGAGCCAAACCAGAACAAGTGTTCTCTCAGGAAAAGTTAAACCATGAAGGACACAAGGTCAGTGTAAACATTTTCTTTAATGTCACTGAAGATAAATTTAGAAATCCAAGTCTTAGGTGGGTTTCAAATAAATAATCATTTTGAGTGTTTACTTATAAAGGGAGCTCTCAAAGCAGCAGTGCACAGTTTACAATTCCTCCCTGCTAACACATCCCCCAAAAGAGAATGTACAGTAGGTAGTGCACACTGGGAAGAACAATCACAACGTACAGCACACTTGCCATCTTCAATGAAACCAGAGTATGATGTTGAAGAGGGGGAAGAAGTAAATGGAGGCATGCACTGCCCTTTAAAGCACCACTATTTTCCCCATAGCCTATCTACCAGCATAACACAAGTAAGAAGCCTGGAAATACAAGTCAGCTTTCTGCTTCCAAAACCCACTCTCAACCCAAAGTTTATCACAGCAGTGCTCCAATAAAGAAACTGTATTCCTTAAACTGACATTGCAGCATAACATGTCACCCCCATCCCAACTGGTCTCTACTCAGGGACACCTACCCTAATGTTTCAAACCCTCTCCAGTAACTGCAGAGGTAATCCAGAAAGCTTGAAGATGGATAAGAGTTGTTGGTTTTTGTAGATCCTGGCCCAGACCCAAGACGTGACAGGCTTCAAGCAGCTGTATGATTACCCAGCAGAGTATCTGGTGTCCTACATCACTAATAACACCTTCCAAAAGTAAGAATTCTTCCTCAAAGTCAAGATTTGTTTTTCTTGAATGACTGCAACTATTCTGCTGTAAAAATATGCCCCACGTGAAATTTCTCACCTCAAAACAAGATTGAACCATCCAGAAGATCAGTTATAAAGATGCCACAAATACACTTGCAAAGAAGTTTCTGTAAATTGTTTTCTTCTTTAAGTTGCTGGTTCATCAAAACATTTTCTCTCTGCAGATAGGGGTAGGGCAATCTACCACTCTTTGTACTTTAGTTCAACATGCAATTGATCTGTGTATGCACTGCAGTACTCCCCAGAGAAGCACATAACCTACTAGCATAAATTCCTCAACACAACTTGCTTTCTTCTCCATTTCCAGTCTACCTGAAAACCAGTTATGCCTCTCTCTGCTATGAGTCAATGAAAAAACCCCAACTTACTATATAATACTGCTGTGTACCTACTGAATAAACATTACAGGAGTTAAAGGATTGTTTCAATTGCTAGCTTGGCTTTGGCAAAACACTAATTGTGCTAACACATGCTGTATACTTCACACATTTCAGTAGGGGCCGCTGCAACGTTTAACAGATACAAAATCAATCTTAGATTTCTAAAACTGTCAGTACACAGGATTCCCAAGGTGTTCTGGATATAGGAGCAGAGTAATCAATTTTCAAGGAAAGCCACATAGTCAGTCAATCTGGCCAACTGCTGTTCATTTGGAATTGGTGGAACTGGAGCAGGTTCTACAAAGATAAAACAAAGGCATCGTTAATCAAATTAAGAAAATAAATCCATCTGCCACACCAGCCATTACACCAACCAGGAAAACATTAAATGCATCACACTGTTAGAGAGTCTTATGGGGACATATCTTAACTGCATCTCCTACCCATGCAGCTTCAGCTGACATTACTTTTCTGTTACCTGCGACCTTACATAGTCCAAGAAGTTAAAATACAAGTTGCAGCTGTCAGCAGTTTTTTGCATGTACTGGAATCTGAATAAGGAAGGCTGACAGTCCTTCCACTTGACAACAAAAGCTGCTGGAGATCTTCAGCTGCTCCTTTCCTTACAAGTTGCCATACTGAAGATACCAAATAAATCTACTGGGTTACCTGACTAATGAAACACAGCAAAGTACTGAATGGGATGCAGGAGACTAGAGTGCACATGCAGATCTAGAACTAGATGATCTTAAGGTCCTTTCCAACCCTAACTATTCTATGATCATTACACCAGCACACCTGAGATTAGAGTTTAACAACAGGTTGGAAGACAAGTGACTAAATCCAGGGAGATACTTAAAAATAAGAAATTAAAAAATAGTAGGAAAAGTTGCATTTACTCTTCCTGAAGAATTAATAAGAGACCAGGATTCAGGACATATGTAAGTGGACACACACTGCTTAGGGATGCCAGTATGTGACAGAGAAGGCTGACAATCAGAATGCTTTCAAAAAGCAAGATCCCACTTCTTGAAATTGGCTTGGAATTAAGCCTGTAAATTTAAGACACTCTTGGCAACTATCAGACACAGCAGCCACCAATTCAGATCTGCTGTCACTATTCTGTGAGCAACAGAGACCACAGTGCTTTGAGAATCAGCATGACATAACATACTACACACACCTCAATCTACTGTTGAGCACTGAGGAAAACCAGAAGATGGCTTCTATAGAAGTCCCACATCAAGCAAGAGCAATGAAGCCTACTCAGAGTTGCTTTGTGAAGCAATTGCCTTTATGTCAAAGGTTTTGTTTTATAGGGGCTGTCTACCCCTGCTTTGGAATCTGCTCCCTACTTCAGCTCCCACTTCAACTGGAAGCGAGAATCTCAGACACTCCTTGAAATGCAAGGGAAAGAAGACAGAGGGAGAAACATGTTTATGTAGCACCTGACTGGGGTGGGTTTTTGAGGGAGAAATGACAACATTCACTTCTCTAGGACACAATCCCCATTTTGTGGTGCTGGTAAAACTGTACTTATATTCATCATGCAAGTTCAGATATATGCACATAGGTTGTTAAAGAGAACGTACCCGATGAAGGAATGAATCTGTTAAAGGAAGCTTCCAGCACACCTGAAGGAAAACACAGAAGCGAGCTCAGTGGACCAATTTTAAACAGTTCTAACCCAGCAAGCCAAAACTGGATGAAAAGGTAATTAAAGTTTAACCCATTCATTTATCATATTTTACTTCACAGCTAAAAAGCAGAATAGCCAAGGCTTAGCTGGTTAGACAGGCAGCCTCAAAATAGATGACAATCTCCTGCCTCTTTCCTTTGCCTCAACAGCAGTTCTTGCAGTCACTTTTGGAAAGGAACCACATGCAACTAGCTCCCAGTACTTGTAACCACCACATATTCTGCAACCAGTTCATACAAAACCTGATCACACATACAAAAGCTCAGGGCTCTGGTTGGTATGTGCCACTAGGGATAAATTTCAACACCTTGTGTGGCACATGTTTATTGTGATGTTCTGGGCTCTAAACTCCTAAAAACTCAGCCCATACCAACAGTATATTTTCTTAGCCTAACAGATGTTGCCCTTTTAGATATGCTGTAATGTGGCCTCTTCTTCCAGAGCTGCACTGTGCAGTTTAAGAGCAGTCATTTCATCCTGCTTTCATAGCTTAATTTTATCTTTGCCACAGCCAGCCATAGATACAGCTTTAGCAGGAAAAACCCCAAACCAAAACAACTGAGCATTTCTGCAGGTTGAGCTTTGTAGGAACACATACTGTTATCAGTATCACACCAGTGAAGAAAAGATCCAGTAGAACAAAGTTTAAAAAGTAAAGGACCAAGGGCTGGAGCTCCTCAGAACACAAAAGATCCATTAGATCCCTGCCTGAAGAAGTTCTACTTCTCCTGAAAAACTTCCTAGGTTCAAAGTGGTATATGTTTTACTCATATTTATTAGATTAAGATATGTCACTTGAGGTCATCTAAGTTATGTTCCACTGCAGCAGAGGAGGAGCAGGAGAAACCATAGCATACCCTGTCTGCTTTTGTTTAAAAAAGTTAATTTGAGGATGTAGTTTAAACCAAACTACTTGTAACCCCAAACCAAACCCACTACTTTGTACTTCCTACATCTCTAAGCATTCCATGGTTTTAAGCAGCATAAGCCCCCATAAAAGAACTTGAGAGATTATGTGAAATTTTCATTAAAACCTGACACTTAATTACTAGGAAATGCTAAACTCAACATCTAATGAAGTGACAGCTCCACCTACCTGGCTTTTTAGGCATTACCATACGAGTCGAAAAGTCTGCTTGCCAGCCCTGTTCTAATACACCTGAAAAGGCATTTTTACATTAGTAAGAACAAACATCCTGTAAAATTGCTAGAAAGGCAAAATAAAGATGCACATTAAGACCAGTAGAAAAGCGTCTCAGTTCACTGGCTGTATGCTCCAACTCCAAGACACACTACTTATGAAAATGCTTATATTTAGGCATGTAGTGCAACGAGTAACACATGGAACTAGCTTAATCCACTGCCTTCACTCTTCTCTCACCACTGAATTGCTTTAACACTTCCCATATAGAAGGGAAGATAACCAGTGCTAACTAGTAGCAAAAAAAACCCCAAACAAAACTTACCCATAACAAAGACATTTTTCTCTATTCACTGCCCCATCCCATCACTTCTCTTTACAGGTCTCAGAATTAGTACAAATGTTTATTTACCATCACTTGTAGCTCTCTGATCTCTATCACCTGTAGAAAAACTATTCAGTGAACAAATGCAAAGTACCTTTCACAGCTTCTTCTACAGGAAGCCCAACAAAAGCTGCAAAATCATCTGCAACTATTGAGGTATATGCCTGAGAAACCAGTCCAAAGGCTCGTTTCCGAGTTGCATCTAAGGAGAGAGAAGCACTGTAAGAAGACAGACTAATTTCCATAGCTAGAAAAACCTGAGATTTTATGTTCCAATTCTAACACTGCCACCACAAGCTAGCACTTGAGAAGTTCCCCCTCCTTCCCACTATTCACTGAAGTACCACAGCCAGAGATAAAAGCTTGCTTTATGCCAGGAAAAACTCCCTCAGTGACTCCATTCAACTTCCAAATGCAGTTTGCAGCATCTTGGGTACTACCACCAGTATGTAAATCAGTTTAGGGAACTCTGCTTCTGATGGCATTTTCCATTTGCAACAAGCTTGTGTGTCAACTAGTTAGAATCAGGAAAAATAAAAGAAAAAGAAGGAAAAACCCCCAATAATGACTTAAACCATTAATGCCTTTTTCACCACATCCGCTTTGACACCAAGGCATCTAAGAAAAAAAATCAGTTGTTTTCTAAAGCTACAGAGAATGTTACTGCAAAATACCTTAGAAGGACTTAGAAGTCTGTCCTGCCCTCTAGCAGCAGGGCTTTGCATGTTACTGTTACACAGGCCATAAAACATTTGTCTAAACAGACATTTAAAAGAAAAACCTTTACTTAAATGTCCCAAGGTTCTCAAATACCAGACAGAGTCCCCTAGATCACTAGTTAGAAGTCTGATAAAACTGGATAACTAGTGGTCTGTTTGCTATTACAGAACATACAGTATATAATATTCCAATATGAAAGAACAATCACATACACAACCCTAATGAAAACAATTTAACTTGTTTCTACAAGTTATTGTAACCAGCTTTTTGTTCACACCTGGTACCTAAAGTCCTTGTAAGTAAAACCCACAAAAACCTGGCAATAATCTTCCTGACCACTTGCGATTTTTCATAATAAATAGTCATTTATCTACTTGTCTACTTGTGTTTGAACACACAGAAATAATTTAAGGCAATATATAATTAGTTCCATGCTACCTTCAGAAGCTCAATTTGTACCTCTAAGTGCTTCCATGATTGGTTGAATAGTCTCGGACCACTGATGTGCACTGATTGTTGTATAGATTCCTGGGAAGTCTCTCTGCCAGATTCTTTGTCCCACTGACCAAACTGCCCCAAGTTCAGCATTTGCCTGTTGTGACAAAAACAACCAAACCCAACAAAAAGTTAACCCAGAGCAGTGTATTCTCTACAGTGCCCATACTGTATAAGCAGGTTTCCACTTCCTTTCCCCACTGCTGGAAAGTACCACCACCCACAAAGACAAACACAAAAGCATTGGGAAATCTTGTTCTACCATGTATCACTGCTGCAAGTTTCCTGACCCATCCTCTGCCATAATGTTATCACCCACATAAGCAAGGTCTGCTCACATCAGTTACATCAATGCAGGCTAATGACCAGCTAAAACAATCATGGAGGGTAATGTGCTCTCAGGCTACTGACTGGAATTGCAAAAAAGACAGGCACAGCTTATTTTCTGCTTAGAGAGATGCTTGCCTCTGCAGCAGAGGCTTTACAGACTGTATAGGCTGTATTGCAACGTTGACAACAAGTCACACTTTAGAGCGACATACTCACTACAACTGCTCTCCCACTACTGGTTTTAAGGGCTACTTTTACTATGTTAAACTGTCATTTGGTCAACTAGACTCCAGAACACCCTGTTAGAACAATAACCAAACACCAAACTGGATAATAAAGTAATATTTTCCATTGTAAGGAGAACCAATTTCTTCCTGAAGTTAACACTACTCATTACTTGGTTTAACTAGAAGATTCATCAACACACACACATAAGGAAATGCTATACTTTGAGGTACAACTTGCAATGAGTTTCCCTCCCCACTTGAGAGAACCAAGTCAAATTTGGTCCAGATGACTATTAACTCAATTGATGCAACTACTTCTTTTGTTGAGAGAGAAAATTATTTCAGAACTATCTGACAGGTCCTAGCTTGACTGTGAGGTTTGTTAATACAAGCCTACAGAACACTTGTTTCCCTGGCAAGATGTATCATCTCAAACCTAACAACAGGAAAGTCTGGAAGCATTCCAGTATATATTTAGCTGAATCTTCAAAATGCATCTTTGATCCAAATGCAGTACAAAACAAGTGCCTTCAGAAAGTTAATCAGTTTGAAGATGCATCTTACCTCAGGTTGCTTTCTGCTGCACAAGGTATCCTACACCCTCATGTGGAACATGGCCCCATCCCAGAGTCAGATCCTTTGCTTTCCTCCAGCTGGCTACACTTTACCATGAAGCTTTCTATTAAAACTCTACAGACTTACTGAATTCTACCGCACCAGATTGTTTGTGAAGGAAAGAGGTAACAGGCAAGCAAGCAGGAAATCTTAATACCAATGTGCCATCTGCTGGGCAAGCAGTTTATAGCACAGAACTAAGCCCAAGGCTACTTCCCAAACAGAATCCTTGGGGGAAGAGAGTCAGTATTAGCAAACTTACATGAACCGGGTTTAGTATCAAATGGTATTTTATGAATTACTTACAGATTTGATAGCAGGAGGGATTCTTTTCCAAAGATAGCGTGCATTATTCCTAAAAAAGTTTAAAATACTCCTCAGTAACCACGTTTGCTATGAAGAGACACCAAAAGGTTTGTTCACACACTGTAATTAAGAGTTTCAGTGCTTTAAAATATTCCTCCTACATCTAGTGAAGTAGAAAAACAACGTTGCTCTCAAGCAGACAACATGAGTGCCATAATGAAACCAACAGTTCATTAACTGCCTCATTTAGCACCAGTTCAGAAAAGGTTAATCATTCACCTGCCCTGGGCTGCATTTCAGAAGTTACTTTTGCAGTTTTACTTTTGGAATAGCTGCATTTTTGATGAACACATGCACAAACAGTAACTTATCACAGTGTTGTGGTTTAGACCCAGCTGGTAACTCAGCTCCTTCTTCCCATCCCCAGGCAGGATGGGGAGGAGAACCAAAAAGAATCTAAAGCACCATCCGGCTGAGATAACAATTTAAAGTATGGTACAATGATATTACTACTGATGATGATAATAAGGTAAATAAGAAGGGGAGAGAATATAAAACTAAAAGGGGAAAGGAAAAAGACCCAACACCACAATAAAATTGCTCAGAAAGATTCAAAATGAAAAATAGAGGAAACCAACAAATCTAAACCTTCAGACCCATTTGAACCAAGGTTACCTACATCAGTTTCAGCATTTACAAGCAATCTGCCCTGAAAAAAGTATATATCTACAATGCAAAAAACCCCCAATCTTCAAATCCCCAAACCAATTCTTACCTGGGCTTGCTAATCAAACATGGCAACATCATTTATTCTGCCTGAATAATAACTCCGCAATTTCTCAGTAAAATCCTAAACATAGTAAATGAAGTTTACAGAGGGCCATGGTAATAAACCACCAGACCAAATTCAAAGGATTACAGCTTCATGCAGATTTAGCTCATTCAAGGCAACAGTATCCCTCATTTTTACCATGAACAGTTTAGAGTTATCCTGCTGTAATTTAAACACAAGCAGCAGACTGCAATGCTACTCAAAACAAGTGCAGCCTCGAAAAGCTACACATCAACACACTGAAGAGCTCAACACTTTTCAAAGGAGCCAATTCCACTGTTTAAGGATCTTTCATCCTAAAGGCAACCTGTTTTCCTGCTGTTCAAAAGGGTGGGCAAGAGCAAAGGAGAATGATTTTCCTGACAGAACAAAGGGTAAATAAGACTTAATTCTGTGAATAATGTCAAGGACAAACCAAAACCCCCACAGCACTTCCTACATGCACTTTGTTAGTCACACAACCAACTCCTAGTATTCTGGCAACTGCAGCTCAAGCCAAAAGTGACAAATTCGGTGTCTGAAGTGAAAGATAAAGTCAAACCACTTACATGTCATTATGCAACAGGTATAAAGCTAGCAGCTGGCCATAAACAAGGGGGGTTGCAATTCCTCCAGGGGCCTGAAAAACACACACCAACAAGTTAGTTACATGTTTTAAGAGTGGTATCTTACCAAACACAGCAGGAAAAACACAACTTACAAAATACAGTTTAATGAAAACTGAACACTCCAGGACAACTTGTAAGGTTACATCTTTCACTACTCCAATGTTCTAGCTTACAACCAGGAGAGTGGTAATCACCTCACTTTACAGTTCCTTACAGACAGCTGGGTTTAGGCACACACAGTTATCTTGAGCTGAACTTCAGTTCAATTCAGGGAATTCCACCAAAGTAAAGCTTCTCTGTCTACTTCAACTGCCCTCCTTTAAAACCTAAACTAAGCCTTGACACTTGCCACACTCCAGCCAGGCCTCACAAATCATACAAGCAGAGAAAAACGAATTATAATAAAGTTACACAATTTTGAAAGTCTATAATAATCTAAAAGCTGAAGAGAGATTTCCAATAGGGTTTTTAGCAATTTATCAAAATACAGTGCAGCAAGCACTCACAGGAAGCCAATTATGCAGCTATTTGATTTAATTACATGTGTGATTTATAGGCTCATCTGAGCCAAAAGCAGGTGATTAGCTGTGCCATGGAGCAGATACCATCACCCCCAGCCATTCTCAGCTGTGCCATGGAGCAGGTACCATCACCCCCAGCCATTCTCAGCTGTGCCATGGAGCAGATACCATCACCCCCAGCCATTCTCAGCTGTGCCATGGAGCAGGTACCATCACCCCCAGCCATTCTTATACTGTTCCCAGGGCTCATCACCTACATAAAAATACAACAGTTTCTGCAACTGTTCCTTGGATTATGCCCAGTAAAACAAAGCCAAGTCCATTAATGCTGCCTGTCTGAACTGTGTAAATTCACCTGTAGGGTGTCTGTGGAGTAAAAAGAAAATTCATCAGTTTCACTGCCAGATGACTGGTGGAACAGAAGGGAAAGCCAACTACCAACGCTAGATTTACAATCTACAGTCCTACTGAAGAAGCTCTGTGGCTGCAACTGCCCTGCAAACAAATTCAGCTTACATATCAACTCATGATCTAAAACAAAGGCTGTCAGCACAGATATCAGTGTGCCCACAAGAATCCTCATGTGGATGCAGACACACATCGAGTCACTTGGCTGCTTTCACCAGAGCATTTGAGAACAGCTTGGCAGGGGTGCATTTGTTGCCATTCCCTTTAGAAGACTGCACACAGACCACAGAAACCCCGAGCAGAGCGCAGTGGCTTTGTAACAGCTCCTGGGAACCCACCGAGGTCCAACTCCATGCTCTGCAGCAGGGAACTGAGGAGAATACACTCAACTTCCTCAGATGGCTGCAGAAGCAAAGCCCAAAACAACTGGGCTCCATCCCTGACACTCAGAACTGAGCCTGACAGAACCCTCCAACCTCCTCACAGGCACCAAAAGGCAGCTAAAGCCATTGCAAGTCAGGTTCAAACAGCTTGCCAAAACCCAAGTATCAGACACTGCTTGAAGCTTGTTAATGGGAACACAAAGGTAACTGGTGTATAAGAACCAGCATTCCCTCACATGACTGTCAGCACATGCTGTAGTCATAGGAGTAACACCACCTCATAACCCTAAGTACCCCTCTACCCACACTTCCCTAACACATACCTTAGCAGCAAGTACTGTACTCATGTGCTCCTCTAAAGGATGGGAATGCCCACACCTTCATAGCAAGCACTGAACTGCTCCCAGCAGGAAGGGGCAGTCGCTCTCGACTCTCCCCAGTGGTACAAGGGCACTCTTCTGCTTCTCTATGCTCAAGTACCCATCACTTGAGGCAGCAGGTAGCTCACACTGTCAGCACAACAATCCCCCTCCAGCTCCACAGCACTCTTCTATAGAGCTCAGGGCACACCAAGAAGCTACAGCTCCTTGCTGAGAACACGAGAGGCACCTGGGCTCTGCACTGAAACTCCAACTGAAGCTTGATAACCCACATGTGGCAAGCAGGGATCCTCCCACCTGAGGATTATGTTTTCCACTGCCAAGCTGTGTGATTTGTGAACACCCAAGTTCTGCTGTTGTGAGTGACCACACACTTGAACTGTCTCCCTCCAGTCACTAGGGCACCAACACCTGAAAATGTAAACCACTAAAGAGCACACAAAAGAGGAAGAACCCAAGTTTCCCTTCTTTCAAACCTCTCCAGCAGGATGGGCAAGCTTCACATTTCAAAAAGCACTGGAAGCTCTGCAAGCCCAGAAAGGGTCTATGGATACCACCCAGGAAGCACTATTAGTGTTAACATGGTGCTGCTTGGAATGGCTGAGGGACCTGGAGGGTTTCATCTGGAGAAGAGAAGGCTCAGGGGGTACCTTATCGCTCTCTCCAACTGCCTGACAGGAGGATGGAGCCAGGAGGGGGCTGGTCTCTGCTCCCAAGGAACAAGGGATGGGACAAGAGGAAGCAGCCTCAAGCTGAACTCCTCTCTCGCACCACACCCCTCCCAAAAGACCCCAGTAATTACACTAACAATGCTCTCATTTATCTGCAGTTTACCATTTTCTCAAGTGCTTCTTGGCAGGCTTCTGCCTCCAACCCCCACCAACCCCAAACACTCGCACGGGCAGAGCACCACACATCTCTCCTTACAGCACCAGGTTATGCTCCCAAACCAGCACTTCCACAGAACCAGCCAGGTTGGAAAAGCCCTTTAAGCTCAT